TTTGACGATGGTTGTACCGACATCGTTAAACAGCGAGATGACATCGTCAGCACTTGTTTTTTTCCTTTCACCTTTCGATGATTCTGTAGCTAGAGCTAGCTCAGATTCAAGCTCAACTCATCTGTACTAAGGGAACGTTTCTCTAAGATTTAAACGCTGCTCGCAAAGTTCAAAGGAAATCTATTCTTTGGAAGTTCTTTACACTCCTATGAAAGCCTTATCTAGGAGTTAATAGTACCTTTTACCTTTACTAAGCGGTCATATATCAACCTTTAGATTGAGGATACTTATCCAGAAATTATTAAGTTCGTGCCACTAAGTCTCTGAAGAAGTTTTCCTCTCAACTTTATTATCTCGTTCTTATTACTTTATCTTTCATTGTCCCTTTGTCTTCTGTTGATCAAATCGACTGTCATAGCTGGATTTCTAATGATAAGCAAAGAATTTTTAAAGCAATTTTTAGACCTTTAATTTCACATAAGCTTTTGACTGAGTTCAAACATCAGGAACTATCCTGAGTTTCCTGCCGGCAACTCACATTTCACCATTTTCCAAAGTTTGTTACCGCCTGAATTTTTTCTACTCTGATTCTTACATTAATTATAATTTTTCGCCTCATCACGAGATTCGTCATTACCTCTCTGTTTATTGTCCTTAATTTTGCGTTATCTAGACCTTGCCAGATGACACTGGTTGCACCACCACCACAACAGTGTCCTTCAATGCCGTCTCCAACCTCAGTACCAAATGGTGTAGCTCCTTCACCACCTCCACCTTGCTCAGGATGCATAAAGCTACATGCTGATATAAAACAGGTACTTGATTGCGTAGCGTAGCATTAAAGTGGAAAGCTGAGTTACCCGAAAATGGCTATGTCTTAGAATATGCAACAAATGATGGATAAATTTGATTTGATCTATATGCGATTGGAAAGTTTGATGAATGAAAAGGAAAAAAATCGACTGATTGTTCATGATCAGGAAATGAGCGAAAGCGGTAGCGATGATAAGGTTCGTCATCTTTAGGAGTTCCTTTTCATTTCATACAAAAAGCTTGGATTAAG